AAATACTAAACTTAGTACGGAATTATAATCCAAATAAAATAAAAACATCTGCTTTGAAGATAAGGATAGTGTTGAGAGATCAACTTCCAATCCGCAGCGTGAAATTGATAAACAGATTTCGGATTTCAAAACATACTTTTCGCTTTGTAGATAACACAATTACATATTAGTAAATATATATTTGGAAATTCTATTTGACATTATCTTTCTAATCTATCATAATCTAATAATGACGTTTCTGCTTCCTTCTCTTTTCTGCCCCCCCCCCTCTGCCGCAGAGCAGCGTGAAATTGATAACAGATTTCGGATTTCAAACATACTTTCGCGCTTTTGTAGTAAATATATATCGGAAATTCTATTTGACATCGAAAGTTCAACAAGCTTACTTTTATAAAATTGCTCTAACAGTCTGCAAAAAATAATAAGCCGGATCCAATTCGAAGATTAAGGAACAACGCAAAAACAATCTGCAAAACATTAACTGAATTAGATAACTTTAGCTTAGCGTATAACTCCGTTACACACATTAAACGCGCATGCGCACCGCACAAACATATTCGCAGCCAGTGCCGTAAACGCTCTCGTAAACGCCTGTGCGCATGCGTGAACGCGACGCATGCGCAGAAAGTTTGTAGCTTTGAGGTCCGGATTATAGATCATTCCGGATTATGGGTGTCCGAATTAACGACTTTTGACTGTATTTTCAGAATTGCCAATTAAATTGCTGGCAGGTGCAGAAATTACAAAATTTTTCTCGCACATTTTTAACATTGAAAGGAATAACTACATCTCCATTTACTTAAGATGTTTTTTAACTTTCAACAGAGCCTTTTATCTTAACTTTTGAAGTATTTACTTCTTCCTTAAAAAATGTAGGAAGTGGTCGCCGATTCTAGCTAAACATTTCTCGAAAGATAACCAACGTGTACATACATATTTCAATTTTTTTTCTTATTTTAGTATTATGCAGCTGTTGGAACTATTTGAGTTTTCCCTTTCTTTTAGCAAGCTTTCCAAGATAATAATAAATATCAACAAGATGTTCAACCACACTTATTGGCAAAGTAGCTGACCTTTTTTTACTGCTAAATTTAAGAGGTGACGGTTGCATTTCATAATTTGCAAATACGAATTTTCTGTTTTTTTAAAGATGCCTGCAACATCAATTTTCAAGCCTAAAATCCTTCATGCATTCCTGGTACAGCACTAAGTGCTAAGCAATAATCTTGAAGAATTGCACTTTCTTTTAAAGTTTAGTAATTAGCTGTGCTATTATCAAAGCCTGTCGAATCTCTTCTAAAGTCGGGACAGAAAGAAACTATACTCAATTTCTGAAGGATTAAAAAAAAAATTATTTTTGCATCGGTATTATTGCTTCCATCCGTACAGAGGCAGAATGGAACTGTTTCAATACAATCAATTACTGAAGATTTATTTTTCACACCAATTTCTTGAACCCATTTCTTCTACAATTGCAGCTGTTTTTGTCCTTTCACTTGAGTATTTCTTAGCGATTTTACTGCCGGGAAACACTTTTCTAAAATACCTGCGACATGATCTGATGCATTCAGCGGCAGGTTGTGCTCCAGTATAAGAGCAGAGAACAGGCATTCTGCATTAATAACCCTTTGGTCCTTTCTTTCCACAGAAAAAAAAAAAAAAATCCAGTACAACTCAAGTTGTCCTCGTGTACGTACATGTTAAAAAACATCAGCGTTTCCTTCGTGCGAAATTCGAGAATTTGCAACAACACACAATACACACTGCAATATTAAATTTCCTTGACGAAATAATAGCAGGAAAGTCATCAGTGTACGATTTTTGAAAAGTACATGAGTATTTTACATTTTACATGCGACAAAAGATCGCAATTTAAACTGTTTCTGGGAAGCACGTGAAACTTACGTTGCTCATCGACAAGATAAACGAAATAAACAACCTCGATTTTGCTTTGTGCTCATCTCTATCTCTACACTATATAATAATGTGTGTCTTTCGTTCGTGCTGCGGGTAAACTTATAGACCAAGGGCTACGAAAATTTGGTACACAGGTGCAGCTAGAAAAGAGCCAGCGCACCAAAGATTTTTTTTTTTTTTTTTTTTTTTTCGAAATTCGATATATGTAATATATTTTTTTTGGGGGGGGATAAAATCGCATCATTTTTAATAGTTTCATTTAGAAACGTGGTTTCGCAATAATTTTTCATTCAATGCTTTGTATACTGGACTGCTGACTGTTGAAAATATAAGATAAAATGCTGCTTATTTTCCTTTGATTTTCGGGCACGCAACACGCACCATCGCAATCTTCTTATTCTGACGCGCATGTGTCTCGCGAGGCACAAGAGGAAGAATTTCCTTTTTTTCTGTCTCTCTCTCTTAGCTAATGGCAAACAGGTTTGTATGTTTTGAATTATGTCATCCACAAAGCCCAATTTTGATTGGTTATTGCTTTCTGATGATAGTTTCATTCTTTTAGAAATGTGGTTTTGGCAACAGTTTTTCATTCATTGCTTTGGATACTGGACTGCTGATTGTTTTCTCCTATAAATATGAGATTTATTGCTTATTCATTCTATTATTTATATTATGTTTTAATTATATAATTTTAATTATAAAAAAAAGTTTTGCATGATTTTTTTACAAAACAAAGTTCCTAACTTCCTTTATACCATTTGAATTCTTAAGATTTTGCAACGGGAAGTTGGTTAATTTATTTATTAGGATAATTAATATTTGTATTAAAGGATATTGCTTATTTCAGTTTTCGTTTTGAGATGGTTCACTATAAAGGTCCGTTTCACTTTTCAAACAGTTGCCACCAAATGTTAGAGTCCTTCATTATGTTTGAAGAAATTAAATAATGAAAAGAAAAATCTGCATAAATGTATGTATCAATATATTTCTTGCATTGTGATAAAACAACGGTACATAGAGCCATCGAATTTTGAACTACGTACTCCTACTGCGAATATGGGCATGTGGAAGCCCAAATTTGGAATTTGTTTTATTATCGATTTCATATTTTGTAAAACTTTAACGAATTTTTTATTAACAAACTCAAAGATTTCAAAGAGAGCAAATACAACATTGTACAGGAAAAATATTTTTACCTCCAGCGCGCGGGACTCATCGGAAATTCTAAAGATATGCTCAATTTAAAATTATTTTGCAATACTCTTGAACTGAATTTTATGGTTTAAAGTGCGAAGATCGTGATATTTAATAAATAAAGGTAACAGACAAATGTTAAAAAAAGCGTCTTTGGACGTAATTTAAAATCTGAAACCATTTTGATTTCCCCCCTTCTCCTGCTAAAGTTGTTCTGCAGAGTAAAACTGTACAGTTTTTAAAATTAATGTTTGGTTTTTCCTTTAGGCATTTTTCCAGGATATTTAAAAGCCAGACGAAGGCTAGTTTGTTAATGTATATCAAGTAGCCCGCAGCGGCGCTCACTTCTGATTGAAGAACTGGAACAGGACATTTACGAATACGTGTTTCGGATTCACAAAGCAGAAATGCGCCATGTCTGTTATGAAGCGACTTTTTCTTTCTTTCTTTTTTCTTTTTTTTTCTTTTTTAAATATGTATTTAGAGAAAAACAAGTGCTTTCAGACGCCAAAACCCACTTTTGGAGGGGACAAATAACGAAGTATTAAGCTAAGCTACATAAATATCGTGAAGAATTTTAAGAATAAGACAAAGTCGGGGATATATGTTAAAAATTGGGTTCGCGGGGTATGGTCAAAAATCCGGAATCTCCCGCCAAAATTGGGAGAGCTGGTAACCCTGCATTTTGCTGCAGACTTTTAACATCTACTGTGGGATATTGTACTGTCTGTATAAATTTTAAAAGCAGAAAACACGAAAAGTCAGCAATGTTTTCGCCAAGAATCGAACTCCCGACTTTCCGATTGTTAGCAGGACGTGCTTCCAATTACACAACAAAGGCATGCAGTAAGGAATTCCTTAAGTTTCACAAAGGCAGTCAGCCTAAATTTTCCATTAATTTTACACAATACAAAACAAGTTCAACACACATGAACAATCTTAAAAGAGAATTTCTTTCAAGAGAATAAACTTAGAAACACGAAACTGAAATCAGTAAGTTTTCAAACCCAGCGCATACATGAAAAAAGTTATAGGTATCTTTGATGTTAATATTTTAGAAATTTTGAAATATATCATAACATATGAATAATGGAAATTCCTTAAAATTTGTTGAATTTATTCACTACATTTCATACATTATAAATTATTTGTTAATTTTAATTACTGAAATTTTTGCAAAAAGATCCCCACAGCAATGCACATGTTACTTCACTTTAGCAGACAGGCAAAGCAAAATTTTACAAATTTTAAGTCATAAAATAAAGTATACATTTTTGTTTATTTTAAAAGTTACAAAATACTATTTTAGCATTTTCGACTGCGCACTTCATGTAAACAAAATGGACATGCAAAAATTACAGTGATTCTGAAATTTGCATTGTTTAAAACCTTGAAAGTTGATGTATTTTGTTCCAATTTAACCTCTAGCCCAGTACTATTATATTACAAATACAGAAAAAATATAATACAATCTAAATGATCTCTTATAACTATTTATTAAATTATGTTTCGTTATGAAATGTAACTTATTTATGTAAATATCTTGTCGCGTGTTTAATTTTATGTCGGGCACACTTTTTTTTGGGGGGGGGGATAGATTAGTCTGTCAGTACAGAAAATATTACAAAAACATGTTCTCTCGTATGCTCGTATTTGACAATCATATAAAAGCTGTTCCACCATTTAATACATACCATTATGAATATTTCTAAATAATTTAAGATTATCACCCGGAGCAGAACAAATTAAAAGTACCGTTTAATAAGTACAACATTTAACAGCAAAAAATTAATGTTAGATAAATTGTTGTCTTCTATCCTGAAGTTGTTTACGGAGTAATCGGAATCAGTAAAAACGCTCAAGTTTTTCGAAATTTTTTTTTAAACATCCATTACACATTTGAAAAAAAAAAATGTGATATATTTCAGGATATTAGTAGTCAGTACATAATGCAGCGAATATGAAAAGAGGAAAATTAAATCTGAATTATGCAGTGAAATACAAATCACACAGCCTTTTTTTCGATTTGTGTACTTTAATACTTTAAAGATAAAGTATATTTTAAACTAGTTTCATAAGTCATTTGAAAAGTTAAAAAATAAATTTTAAAAAAAAATTGCAGACACACAGAAGTTTCTAGAACACAGAAGATATGTTTTTTACAAATTATGCTTGAAAGTAACAGAAATAATAATGAAGAAAATAGATGAATTATATTTTGAAGAAATAAGAAAGCCATCCACCACAACTCGACTTGCAACATCTGCAAAAAGAAGAGAAGGAAAAGTTAGAAAGAAGCATTGATAAGCCGTTTTTCAAATCTTTAACCTGATAAACCAGAGTTTACTAACATAGTAACCCATGAAATCAATACTGTTGATTCGGCTCAAATCAGAAGCAAGCTGTACCGATGCGACACTGTCAAATAAAGTCTAATTGAAAAGCACATTGAGGACATGTTAAAAGTAAAAATAATTATTTTGCGAGCCCCGTGGTTCTGTGCAGAAAATAAATAAATCATTTACCTCCTAATAATCATGAAAGATGGCGTTTTGCCGTTGATTATAGATAATTCAGTTACTAAATATCCTGTATATCCCTTGACCATAAGTGAGGTGTTGGCGTATTTAATGATGGCAAAGCACACTAGGGCTATCTGCCTAAGGGGAGGGATGCCTTCGTGGAGGACTTTCTAAGGGAAACTGGCTCGTATACACGTTACCATGGGGAAAACCACGAAAACACCCATGCAGCCAGCCCGTTCGCGGGACTCGAACCGAACTACCAGTGTTCAGCGACTTTACCGCTCGGCCGCTGGTGGGCCCATAAGTGAGAAAATAATCCGAAAAATAAAATCCACCAGATACATGACAACGTTGGACCTATGTCCGGATATTTCCAAATTGGCCTGAAGCCTGAAAATGTACCTAAAACAACGTTTGTTACGAAGTCCGGGGTTCTACGTTTTTCTACGAATGCCGTTTGGATCATGTGGGGCACCTGCCACTTTCCAAAGAGCCGTGGATACTATATTGCGGCCAGTGCTTGGAAAAAGCAGTTTTATTTATTTAGATGACATAATAATGTCAAGTGAAACCATAGACCAGCATATAAAGGATCTACACGAAGTATTTCCGCTTCTAAGTAAAGCCGGACTAAAATTTAATGCCGCAAAATGTAAGTTCGCCGCCCCAGAATTTCGGTATCTAGGATACAAAATATCCAGTAAAGGCATAGAAACAAAAAACTCAAATATAATAACGACTAATAACACCCTCCGCTAAATACTGCAAAGAAACTTTCATACCTTTCAGGGATGTATACTCACTATAGGACATTTATTAAAGACTTCTTTCAAATCGCAGAATCACTATTACAATTAAGAAGGAAGAAAATTCGCTTTAACTGGACAGTCGAGACGAACACGGCGTTTTAAAAGTTAAAACAGGCACTCATGCTAAAATTCACAGAAGGCGATGGAAACCTAGAAATTTCGGCAGATGCTTCCTTTTTTGCAGTGGGTGCAATCCTCCTGCAGAAACGAAGACCGGTGGTCTATTTTTCAAAAAGCCTAAATGAAACAGAGGAATTATACTGCAACTGAAAGAGAAAAACTTGCAGTTTTGTTAGCGGTACAGAAGTTGCGAGTTTTATTTTTGCAAATCGCCGATTACAATTTCTTCAGATCATGCGGACGTAGGACGTTTATACTCAGGAAAGAATTTATCGCCAAGATTGATGCATTGGGCACTTAAACTGCACGAGTTTAATTTAATCATAAAACATGCCATAAGTAAAGAAAACACAGCGGTTCAAGAATAAAGTTAGATGATGAAAGAAATACATCAAAATGCGCGATGTTAACAGCGAAAATACTTGATTCACGAGAAGCAATTATTGAAGAACTGAAAAGGGATCCCGATTTTATTATTATTATTATTATTATTATTTAGAGGATTTGGATCATCTTGAGCACCCACACATTGCGGCAATACGAAACAGAGCTGAAAATTATGAAGTCATTGAAGTCTCTTGTTTTATTCACAATCTACAAATCAAAATTATGAAATATGTCCCCTTATTCCAGCGACATTAAGGTTAAATATTTTAAACGAATTACATGATTCGCCCATGTCTGGCCACCTGTAAAACTGTAAAACGAGTTCATGAAGCAGTATATTTTCCACAGTTACAAATGTTCGTAACTGCGTATGTCAATCCTGCCATACTTGCCAGTTAAATAACGACGTTAACCGGCTGGATAATTAAAAAGTATAAAAGCAACGTTTCTTAACAAATTGGTCGGCACAGACTTGTTGGGCCCGTTTCCGAGAAGTGCAATAAATAAAAGTCTTTATTTACTCATCATAGTAGATCAGTTTTCTAAATGGGTTGAAATAGTCCCCTGAGAAGAGCCTCGACAAAAATAGTAACAGATTCTTTTTTAAATAAGGCCAACACAGCAGAATGGGTAAACAAGAACATAGTGAAAATAACGATTTTATGTGAGAAATTATCACAAGCACTGGGATAGCGGGGTCAATGAGTTAGCTTACGCATTACGAACAGCGAAGCATGTTACAACGGAAAAAAACCAGCTGAGTTATCCTTAGGCCGAAAGTTAATGGCACAGTTGGACAAATTATTTTTTGTATAGGAGAGCCCCGGGAATTCCAAATGAAAGACATCCAGAAACTAATAAATGAAGCAGTTGAATGTTCAGATAGGGCAAGGGAAAAACAAAAGTATTACTATGATATGAGGCGGAGAGAAGTAAATTATCAAGTCACATACGAAGTGCTAAAAATTAAGCATTCCCCAATCATCAGCAGGTGACGAGCGAGTTGCCAAATATTGTCCCAAGTTTCAGGAACCATATGTAGTCGAAAGAGTTAGAAAAGCCGTAGTCTATTTGAAAGTAGAGACAGGGAACAAGTAGTGGCAAATGTGGATCAAATTAAACCTTACTATAATAGAAATAAAATGGACGTACAAGAACAAAATCACGCTTCTTTTCTCATGGTGTATCGCGCTTTTTCATAATCATCTAGTATGTTTACAAGATCATCTATGTTTTTAATTTGGGGCTGAATATCCCCGGAATGTTCCCGCATCGTATTTTTTAATTTTCATTTTAATATATCAGTAACGGCAAAGTTCTTTTAGTAGGCTTTTAGTTCTAAACTTTGTTGTATCCATTCCTCAAAGAAGCTGTTCAATTCAAAGGCGAAATCAAAAAGATGCAGAAGCTTCTTTCATGTGCGAAACATTTTATCTGAACTGCTCTATACAATCTGAAGCTCTTAAAAAGTACTTTTTTATCGTAGGCGTAACTGTTTGCCAATCGGCTACTTCATGCAAGAGCACATTCACGATTACCTAGTGAAATTAGCTTTAACAGAAAGAGCCTCGTAACTGTTTGCCAATCGGACAATTCATGCAAGAGCACATTCAAGATATCTAGTGAAAATAGCTTTAACAGAAATAGAACCAATCTTCTTTTAGTACGTCTATTATACTATTTGCGCTATTTCCACCGAATTGCCTTATTAGTTTTAGTAAATCATTACTCTTGTTATTTTTGAGAACTTCTGAATAATCGCCCCCCCCCATATTGCATAAACTAGACTATTTCTAATACAATGGAGCACCGTTCAAGAGCCCATTCATAGACGGCGTATACGTGAGAAAGACGCACAAACGAAGTTTGTTTCAAATCTGCTGCATTTAAATTTGTTTAAAATATTAACTATGTTCAAACAAATTTTAAAATTAATATTTAAATAACTATTTAATTAATATTAATTTTTAAACAATTAACGATTTAAATGTTTAGAAATGATATTAATACAAATTTAATATTTTTGAATCACAATAATGCAAATGTACGTAGTAATTTAAATTAAAAAAAAAAAATACCATTATTTATCTTGAACAAGTAATTCTCACCCCCCCCCACACACACACATTAACGTTTTAAAGCAAATTTTTAACTTTTTTAAAGAAAAAGGTCTTCAATTGTCTGGCGTTTCTTTTGATTCTGAATCTTAACAAAGCGCTATGCATCGAATTTAGTCTATAAGATCGTTTTCTCGTTTCATTGATATACATACACAAAGAAATTTCTGAGAGTGTCAATGCAGTAGATATAGCATTTTGAAGAGACAGCGACATTATTTCTTCATTTTCCTCTTCATTCGCCAAATTTAAATGTTTATCCGTTAAAATGTTTGCAATCACTTCTTCAGTTGTGCATAAGTCTTGACGTCATTACTTGGAATCACAGTTTACAAATTCCTCGATTTGTAATATCTAATCCCAGTACTTCTTCATCCATAATTTCAGTTTCATCACCATTTCACTTGACTCTAGGCTCGAAAATGCTCTTTTAGTAAAGCAATTTTTAACTGTTTGTGATTTCACTTAAATCCAGACCAGTGAAATCATATTGTTACGAATTATGTACATAGATAGATGATTTTAGTGCAATTAATATGTGAAATTGCTGTATTTTTCTGTATAATGAAACACGAAGCTTGCAAGAAAGTAAGAATACAGGGCCAAGTCAATTTAACATCAAGTAATTGGCTATCTCGTTAAATTGATTAAATATCGCCAAGTAGGCAACTGTTTTGGACGCTAATCCTGTGGCAAAATTTGTCACCAAACTTGGCGACATTTTAGTCTTGTAACTGTAATAAACATAATAATTAACTGTAATAAACATAATAATTAATCCCTCTGTAACTGTAATAAACATAATAATTGAAGCTCTATGTAGTTGTAACCGTAATTCGGCTTTCACATGACTTCCAGTAATTTCGAGAAGCAGAAAATACTTGAAATATCTCGGCGGCCATGTGAAACATATATAAGACCGCAGGGAGCATTTGCTCTTAGTTGTTAGCTGCTAGTTCAGCAAGAGTCTGAGTACTAAGATATCTCCGGGTTAGCTTCGCGCTTTAGACGAGCTTTGCATTGCATTGTGTTGTTTAGCGTCCTTAGACGTTTGAAGTGTGTCTATTGATTGTACTCTGCGATACTGCGAACAGTTGCACGACTATTTTTGTGAACCAGAACTCTGAAAAGTTTCTTTTGATAAAATAAATCTTATCAACCTATCATCCAACCTGTATGCAACGAATCTATTACGAACCCGTACGCACGCAACAATTTTTTTGTGTCAGAAGTGGGATTGAATGCCGGTGTCAAGAGCAAAGTATTAGCAACTAAGATAGCTGGTGACTGCCTTTGCTGCATTCC